AGGGTAGGCTAAGTCGGTTGCTTGTTTTGCAAAACTCCATGTGTTTTAGCATGAGGGCCGGTAGGTTGAACTTGATTTTGTGTTTCAAGAGATAGGCAAAGGTGCACTCTAAACTCCCCACGTCCTTGCTTTTATTGTTCGTGGGCAAGAGGCTATCGGTTACAATCATAACCAATATCTTTTGCTCCGCCGATAGCCACTTCCTATTTGGTCGTGTGGCCGAGGTGAATCCTTCCTCCTTCCCGAGTAGGTACCCGAGATAGTCTTTGTACCCCGTGTTTTGGGTATCAATCCACCCCTTTCGGTCGTAGTTCGACACACCCGTGGTGGTCAATTTCAAGAGCTTGGCCAAACGGCCTTCGGAGAGTATAATTTCCTTGCCGCGGACCTTGGTGGCGATTTCTAGCTTATCACCCCGTTTGGTGGCCACTAGATGTTGATAGAATTTTTTCACCAATTCGGGGTACGTATCCCCCTTGATGGTGAGATACGTATCCAAAAGCCCTTGGTGCTTAAGCATATCAACCAATTCCGGAGAAAATTGGTCGGGTTCAAGGGCTTTACCTCCGATTACGGTATAATCGGCGTTGCTCCATTCCGGGGTACGGGCTCCGAGGGGTTTCTTTGGCATTGTGGGGCTTCTCTTGAAGGCGGAGTTTTTCCGGCGAACTTTCCGGCGAGACCGCGCCGGGGCTCCGGCGAGGCTTGGGTGGCGGGGTTGGTTTCGAACGGCGAGGGGGGCGATCGACGGTGGCGGCTGGGCGTGCGACTGGTGGTGCTGGCAGCGGGTTGTGGCTGGGCGTGGCGTAGGCGACCTCCGGGCGAAGGTGGGGCGGTTGGCTGGGCGGCGGTGCGGCGGTGTGGGGCTGACGGACGGCGCTCGGCCGATGGCGGCGTTGGGCTGGTGTGGCGTCGTGTGGCTGACGGAACTTTCTGGTGGGGCGGTGAGGTGACTTAGAGAGGGAAGGGGAGGAAGTGAGGAAGAAGAAGAAGAAGAAGTTGGAGAAGAAGGGTTTTTGATTTGGGGATTTTGTGGGTTTTAGGGGTTTGTAGGGGCTTTTAAGAAGAAAGTGTTCCCTTGAGGTTTCAAGAAGCATTCTTAGCCTAGTGGTCAAGGCCTTGGTCTTGCATGAGGGAGGTTAAGGGTTCAGTTCCCATTGGCAACACTAGGTTTTTCTTGATGGTGTGGTCCTTGTCTTTTTCCCTCTTTCGTCTTCTAGTGGTGGGAGACTTGGCTTGTTATATAATTTTGGTCCCATCTCTGTAAGTAAGATCGAATTTCGATCTAGTCTTTTATTCATAATAATTTCGAAGTAATTGCTAAATAAGTAGTTTTACTACGAGGGTGATTACAAGGAATTTTGCCGGTCTATCCTAGACAGAAATCGTCTTCTTGGTTTTCTTCCGCGGGGTTTGCGTGGTCCTCATCTTCTGGGGTTAGGTTCCCCTCCTCGAGGTTGCTTTCGTTCCCGAGGTCGGCTTGTGTGCGGCTCATGACGAATATTTTTCTGGGGGCGCCGTAGTTTTCTTGGTGAGTGGTGCCCCCGTGTTGGCCCATGGTGGCGGGGCGTGGTCTTTGGGGTTGGGTGCACTAGAAGGCCTTGTGTCCTTCTTCACCGCAGTTGAAGCATCGCCAGGGATTTCCCATGCAGTCTTTACCTCTATGGCTTTTGTTGCATTTTGGGCAAGAGAAGCTTCTTGTGTTAGCTTCGTTGTTCCCTAGGGGCGGCCTTTGGTTGGTCAGATTGCTTGGTCTTGTGTTGGTGTCGTTTCTCGTCCTTTTTACAGGTGGTGCTCCACCTCCGGTGTTTCTCTTTCGTATCTGTTCCTGCACCCCGCGTTGGAGTAGTTGGATTTGATAGAGATTTGCGGCGCTGGAGTAAGCCTCTTTGAGGGTCCGAGGTTTGCTTACCACCAGTGCTTTTCGGGCTTCGAAGTTGAGGCCCGATACGAATCTCTCTATTTTGGTTACCTTGGTGGGGACTAGTTCTGGCGCGAAGCGCGCTAGTTCGAGGAATCGTTTATGGTACTCCATGACGGTAGCCGTCCCTTGTTTCAGATGGAGGAACTCTTCGTACATGGATGCTTTTACGTGTGTTGGATAGAACCGTTCTCGTAGTCGTGTCTTGAGGTTCTCCCAGTCGAACCCTGGTTCTTGTTGGTAAGCGGGCCCCTCATGGATCCACCAGAGATCGGCCTCGTGTCCGAAGTAGAACGAGGCTATCTCTACGCGACGTTCTTCTGGGCATTCCACTAACCCTAGAATTTTGTCGAGGGTTCGGATCCATTCCTCCAGGATTACGGGATCCTCTTCTCCTGAGAACGTGGGTGGTCGATGGTTTGAAACTTGTCGGGCGACGTCTGAGTTCGCGTTTGATGGAGGAGGCGGGGGTCTGTTGTTGTGAAGAGCTACGTCGCTTAGTGCCTGGGCGACTTGCGTTAGTTGTTGTAGTGTTTGGGTCAGGGGGTCGTGTGCAGCGGGTTCTGGAGTCCTTGATTGTCTTCTGTTTGGCGCCATGCTGTCGTTTTTCTGGGTCAATGTTTATAAGAACGTTAAATTAGAGCTTGGTGCTCTTCTTTCGATGTGATAAGCGGGGGAACAGTTCCCTTTAGATAGGGGAGGGATAAAGTGAGGGGAGGTTACGTGTAGGTTTCACAATCTCACCGCACGTCCTAGGATTCCCGAATCCTATGTCCCTAAGTACCTAAAGTTCAAGTCTATGTCCTAAGGTCTGTTTTAATAGTCTTATCCTAGGGTCAAACTTAGGCCCTGATACCAACTGTAACACCCCAGATTTTCGAAACTTTTGAAACTTATATAAAGAAGGTAAAATCTCATTAAATCTCAAAACATAATATAAAGAGTACGGGGTGCTATGCCACACCTGAGTTAGAGAACTCAGGTGCACAGGCTAACTAACTAATATCCTCAACAAAGTAGATGCATAAACATGGCACGCAGGCTGAAAGGGAAACTATCTACTTCTACGCTCCACGGTTCTAGCGCGCTCTAGTGTCTACTCTTCTGTGCCTGAAAGCCAAATATATCTGTTCAGCGAGAGATGCTGGTAACCCACTCCAACGCGTTGAATTACAATACATATAGATATATACATAGATATACGAAAAACCATTTCGAAGCATGAAGATATATCCTAAAAGACTCTAGCTTTCAAAACAGGGAATAGACTCGACAGATAGGGATAAGCACAGCCAATAGTCAAAATCAAGCATATACAGATACTAGCATGTATCCTATGGTCACACTTTCATAAAAATCCAATCATCCATATCTCATCACATAGCACACTTTGTTGGCGCCACAGGACCAATCGCATGCCCATACATGAGGGTCAGCGCATATAGCTCTGACACGGCCCCGCAGCACCCTGCCCCGTATCGCAACACGGAGGGGTCGATCGCAACCGACCGATGAACCGCAGCTCATCATAGTTTGATCGCAACCAAACAGTGGACCGCAGCCCAAGATTATGTCATCTGACCGCAGCCAGGAAATATGAACCGCAGCTCATGTAGAAACGTTTGATCGCAACCAAACGGTGAACCGCAGCCCAAGAGTGTAAATCTGACCGCAGCCAGCTTCTGAACCGCAGCTCAGGAATAACCAATCCGATCGCCACCGGATTGGGGTATCATGCACACATGACACATAGCAAGCACATGCAACCCACATTAACACATTGGGAAGGGGGAGAAAATGTATAACAAAACCTATGCGTGATCCTTCACATACTAAGAATAATCCTAAGGGGTACATACTTCTTTTACCTAGGTCAACGGGATACCAATTCAACTAGCATGCAATATATAAGACTCATACAACCTACGAACGGTACCCGAAATATCAAACTAGACATAGGCACGATAGACGGAGTCCGTTGGGACGCCACGGGGGTCGGGGGAACATCAAACGGGGAAGCCAAAATCCCGAGGTGGGGTATTTTCCAGCGGGTAGCCGGTGGGTGAGGGGTCACTCGCCGGCTGCCCGCCGGTGGCGTGTTTCCGGGCAGCGGGTGCCCGGCGGGCAGCTGCCCGCCCGCCGGCTGCCCGCTGCCGGTGTTGCCCATATTGGCCGCGGGTAGGTGGTGGGTCCGCTACCCCCACCTACCCCCCCCCCCCACTGACTCTTTTATCACAGAAAAATGCCCTGGGAACCATTATGGAACCCGAGACCATGCTTAAACACTTTCAAACGCAATTGACAACAACACGTAGACAGTTAACGGATTCAAAAGCAAGAACATACGGCACATAACTTATCATGCTTTTCTAAACATAATCAACACCCAAACATGCGAATTCCCACCCAATATACCAAGAATGATACCATACGAATTCCACGATATAACCTAGGGTTCTAATTATTTTTAAATCAATAAGAACACAATTCATCTTCTAATATCGAAATTCGATAGGAATATCATATAAACATTAAGAACATCATATAATCATCAAGAACATCAAGAACACCATGTAATCATCAAGAACCTCTTATTATCAAGATCACCCATGGAATCATAACACCAATTATCAAGATCGTTATAACGAATCATCAACACACAAGAATATGGGGGAAATCCTAAGAGGGGAATCATAGCTATGAAAATAGGTTTTGTTGAGACATGGGTTACCTCTTAGCCTTAATTAATTCCTTGGCTATGAAGGGTCTTTCTTTAAGCTTTCTTCTTTCTTGATTTTCTCCTAAGGGAATTCTTGGAGCTCCTTGGGTGGTGAGAGATTATTGTGGTGGGGGTTCTAGTTGCCTCTTAAGTCCCCTATTTATATACCTAGAAGTCCTAATTAGGAACTAATATTATAGGCTTGCTAATTCTATTCCTTTTTGGGCTAGGGGTTGGGTTTTAGGGGTGAGGGCCCACGGACCATGGTGGGCCTTTTCTAAATTGGTTATTGTAATTTAGTTCTTTCTTCGGATATTTGATTAAATGATTAATTGGTTTTAGGGGTCGTAACACGGGGTGTTACATAGAGCCATTAAGCTTTCTTTCTAGCTTGAGTGCCATGTTCAAGACTTTCTCCATCGTTGGAATGGGATCCATAACCAACACACCTGATTTTATAGTTTCAAATTCATCCTTCAGTCCTTCTAAAAATCTTATGACCTGATCATCCTCCCTGTCCTTCTGTATCTTACTCAAGAGACGACAAGAACATCTAGGCAAGCACTCACAAACAGGTATAGGTCTCATAGCATTTAGTTGTTCCCATAGACCATTACATTTTGTGAAATACTCATTGATAGTCATATTACCTTGCAAGTTCTTGAAGATTTCATTCTGGATCTCTACAATTCTGTGTGGATCAGCTTGCGAATACCTCTTCTCAAGAGCCTTCCAAATGTCTTCCGCAAATTCGAAGTACAAGACACTTTCTGCTATTGTCGAATTCACCGATTTCAGTATCCAGGACCATACTATATCATTGCATCTCTTCCAGACTGCATATTTGATATCTCCTTGTCCTGGATTTAGTATGTCTCCATTCACGAAACCAAATTTGTTCTTCACTCCCAAAGCAATCTTCATGGACCTGCTCCATGAAGCATAATTGCACTCGGACAGAGGGGGTGAAACAAGGATTAGGTTTGGATTCTCCGTAATATGGAGATATAGAGGATCATCAAATTCATCTGCTCGATGGAATGGAGTTTGATTGAGGAAATTCGGATTTGCGGTAGTTTGATTGGCTGGAGCTCCGGCGTTCCCGGCTGATGTTCCTTCACCTGCTCCGGCATTCGTGATCACGGCGGCGGCATAGGAGCGATGATTACGCTCTGATACCATGTTGAAGTGATTCAAGGAGAGCAGCTGCTACTTGCTAATCACTACTCACAGTTGAAGCTAGAAGAAAAGGAGCCATTGGCATTTCATCAAACAGTACTCAAGCTATTGTTCTTACAGAATGGAAAGAAGAAAAACAAACTATTTAAATGGACAACAGCAGTTATAACCGTTTGTAACAGAATCAGATAGAGTGAAAGTACAGGAATGCCCTCAGAGCCCTTGGCTGGTGTCTAGGTAGTCCATCATACCATCGATGTATGTTCGCTGAATGATGAGTGTATATCGATGATCCTGGTCTGGGTCTATGGCATGGGAGTAAAAGAGTATGCACATTACCTCTGTACGTTCACCCGAATATCCAGATCAGAACACCTATCAACGAAGCAACGCTGTAACGCTCCTTGCTCCGGCCGTTACGTTGGAATCCTCAAAGACCGTGCCACCGTGGATGTTCGTACACTGATGAATGCGATTAGCTTGGATCATCGTTGTATCATATTTCAGCGACTCGAATGACGGATCAGAGAAGCCTTGTCATGGAGAAGGATTGATTAATCCTATCGGATCGGCAGCGACGACGTGCGACTATGAGAAGCTAGCTAGGTTCATTAATATTCCGGCTGGGGGAAGATGCTGGTGTCGGATGTGTCAGATGTTGATCCTTTGGGATTCATTCGCAAATCAGAGAGAAAATTTTTAATTTAACACGAGATCTGATCATGATCTTCCCTTCACGTAGAGGTTTGAATCGGTGTATGTTTTCAATGCTAGTGGCACAACATGCAGTATGTGAAATCTTCCGATCGAGAGAATGAGCCAAATGATATTATGGATAATGAAGTGGATAGGAGGAGATTCCGGCAGGCATCGATATCACAATCATGCAGGAACTGGTACAAATTAAAAAAGTACTACTGTATTGAAAAGTTACAATCGTAAGTAGCAAGTTCATATACTAATCCTGGAAACAAAATTATACTTACTTCTGCTGGTTGGTTTCCAAATATTGTAGCACAATGAATCCTAGTGTTGGTCTAACTCCCCATGTTCTTAGACCAAGGAACTTGAACCACGATAGTGTCTTCTGTAAAGTAGAGTTTTACAGCCAACTTCATCATCGACATGCAGCAGCTCTTCCCACGTACTCCAGGTGCTCTTCTTCTTCGCCTACGTTAGCTTCAGCATGGCCATGCTAATCTAGTTATCTTCTTTGCAAAATAGTTATTTCAACAAAACAATAACACATTTTGCATATTGAATCAAAACACGTCGAGGCTGTTATGAAAGAAGAAAAGAGGCTAGGGGTTATGAGTGATAGATGTTCCTAAAATGTGTTATGAAATATAGTAGGAAGGGTAAGAAGACTTCGCTCAGGTTTTGGCCGTGTTTGTAGATGTTATATATATGTAACGTGGGCGTGCAAAGAAGGGAAGCTAAAAAACCAAAAATTAAAGTATATTATGTTGGAAAGGAGATGGATATTGGACCAGAGCATTGCCCCCTACTTGCTCTATGATCTGGAAAATTGCAGGTTGAAACAAGTCGAAATGTGTATGCGGTGGGCGGCACGGTGCGTCACTTGCAGGGCACAAATCCGTGGATGTAATCAACACAGATTCATGGCATTTTTCACAATGCGATGTGCTGTTTACACAACTTATTTCATAGCAGGCAACTTTTTAAATAATAATAATAATAATAATAATAATAATAATAATAATAATAATAATAATAATAATAATAATAATAATAATAATAATAATAATAATAATAATAATAATAATAATAATAATTATTATTATTATTATTATTATTATTATTATTATTATTATTATTATTATTATTATTATTATTATTATTATTATTATTAGGTAGAAGTGTCAAATAGCCCCATCTACTATCGCGAAGTGCTCAATTCCCCCCACGAACCAAAATAAAGTCTAATTAGCCACATTAACCATCCAAATTTGTTCTAATAGCCTTTTTCGCAGGTTACCAGCCCATTGCCTATCCATTCTCCCGGTTACGCTGAGGTGGCTGGTCTACATGGCAAAATTGAATAAAATTTCCTTACAACTCATCAATCCACTAAGGCTGACTATACAACTCATCAAGTTTCCCAAAATCCCAATTCGTAGAACCCATACCCTAGCCCTACGACATTGACGACACTGGACTACTCGACGATTGACGAGCTGCGTTGGCGACGACAGTGGAGAAGCCAAGGTTGACGCCATTGGCAACACTGGACGAGTTGCGTTGGAGTACCCCTCGACGACAGTGGAGAAGCCTCGCCATTAACGACTCTGGACTACCCGTCGACGCCATTGGAGAAGCCAAGGTTGACGCCATTGACAAAGGTAAGCTTTGCTTTGCTTTGAAATAAATAGACGACCAAATGGTCCAGACAGTATTGCTTTGCTTTGATTTCTTGCTTTGCTGTCATGCTCTGAATCTCAAAACCAATATGCTATGCTTATTGTTCTGTGGTCCAGACAGTATTATAAAAGTAAAAGTGTTGTGGTCCTACTATGAATATTGCAAAACAGATATGCTTGTTGTTTTGTGGTCCAGACAGTATTCTGCCGTGTTGTGGTCCTGCTTTTGTGTCTACAATGTATGGTAAAGGTATTGTGGGGGGTCCTACAAAACACTTGGCTGAAATTGTTTGTTTGTTTGTTGTAATTTAAAATTTCTGTATTGAATAATGGTGAGAACATGTGAAACATATGACTTTTGTCTAGTTGTGATTTTTATACTGTGCATTTGCTTATTCTATTTCAGGATGTCAGATATTATTGAATTGCTTATTCACCATGGTGGTAACTTTATAAAAAAACCTAGCCTTAAGTATGTCGGTGGAGAAGTAGAATCTGTAAAAATTGACGCAGACTACATATGCTATCCACATCTTATTAAGTACATAAAGGAGCAAACATATGGAAACATTATATCACTAACATACAAATTACCTGAAGAGTCTTTTAAGTGCTTGAAACTTTTAAGTAATGATGCTAGCAGTATGCACTTAGTTGAGATTACTTTGAAGGGTAAGAGGTGTGAAATATATGTTGAACATGGGTTAGATGATCCAGAGTTGGTTTCTATTATGACCTTACCTGGCCCTGAAACTGCAGAAATAGAAATAGATGATAGGGCTCAATCTGGGTGTTTGAGTGATATTGAATTGGATTTTGATGGCTTTGAATTTGGAAATGAGGGTGGTGATGGGGCAGAAAAAGGAGGGGTTGATGATGGGGCAGAAAAAGGAGGGGTTGATGATGGGGCAGATGATGGGTCTGATGATGGGGCAAATAGTGATGGAGAAACAAATGGTGGGGCTGATGATGGGTCTAATGATGGGGCTGATGATGGGGCAGAAACTATGGGTAGGCAACCTGAAACTACTACTGTTGATGAGCATGAAGGGAATGGATCTGTTTACTATGATTCCGATGATCCTCCTACCATTGAAGACGAGAATGACAATGATGTTGGTGAAGAGGTCCAATCTAGTAGGATGAAATCTAGATATCCTATATATAATCCAAAGTCTGACCCACCTCAGATTGAGCTAGGAATGTTGTTTGATGATAATGTGCAATTTAAAAATGCAATGATTAGTTATGCCGTACATAATAAAAGAGACATTTATTGGAAAAAAAATGAACATAAATATGTCAGGACTGAGTGTAAAGGAGAGGGTTGTCCATTCTACTGTAGTGCAGGGTGGGAAGATAGATACAAATGCTTTAGGGATGTGGGACAGCAATGATTGGACAATTATGAGTGATCAACAAAAGGTATGAACTTCAGGGTCTAAGTAATATAGTTGCTTGTTAATTTACTGCTTCTTTCCTATAACTCTATAAATGATTATGTATTTTATATTCTGCAGGGTCTAAGTAATATAATTGCAGAATTGTTTCCTGGTATTGAGCACATGAATTGTGCAAGGCATGTCCATGCTAACTGGAGTAAAAATCATAGAGGCAAGGTTATGAAAAAACATTTCTGCCAGATTGCTAATGCTACCACAGAAGCACAACTTGAAGAAGAACTCAAGGCATTAGAGAAGATAGACTTGAATGCAAGGAAAGACTTGGACAAATACCCTATGAAGATGTGGTGTAATGCGTTTTTTAGGACAGAGGTAAAGTGTGACATAGTGGACAATAACCTTTCTGAAGCCTTCAACAACACACTCTTAAAGGCTAGGTCAAAACCACACACTGGAGAAGTAACACTAAATGTAAGGCATTATTTACTAATTTAGTTGCACAATTGTTGTCTTATTTTGGCAATAATTAACTTCTTGTTTTACTTTTTGTACAGCGTGGACTACCAAGTCAACGAGTGATATACAAACCTAGAAGAGGGAGGACTAACGCACCTAGCACAAGTAGCATTGCCAACAGTTCAAGTGGAGTGAATTAAATATGTGCCTTGAGTGTATTATATTTCTCTTACTATTAATGTAGTTTTTGGCTGGGCAGTGTATCAATGTTTTTGTTGCCTTAAACAGATGTTAGTATGTTTTGGCAAATCTGATGGCTAAAGCTTGAATTTGGCAAGAGATGTTAGTATATTTTCTATGTATTTTGGCAAATCTGATGTGAAATCTGATGGCTTGAATGTTAGTATATTTTCTGTAACAAAGCTTGAATATTTCGCAATGTAGAAGTGCAAAGTTCAGAATTTTAGCAATGGATGTTTTCTCTGTTGGCAATGAATGTTTTCTCTATTGGAAAATCTGTTGAATTTTGGCTAATCTGATGATTTTTGGCAAATCAGAATTTTGGCAACTCGGCAGTGTTCTGGCAGTTCAAAATTTTGGCTAATCTGATGATTTTTTCCCTGTAATGGCAGTTCAAAATTTTTGGAAAATCAAAATTTTGGCAAGAGATGTTGGCAGTGTTAATGCCTCTTGAATGGACTTATCATCACTGCTCTAGTACATTATTTCCATTGCAAATGCAAAACACAAACAAATGTACAAA